CTCGTCTCGTCTCGTCTCGTCTCGTCTCGTCTCGTCTCGTCTCGTCCCGTCTTGTCTCGGTTTCGCGACTCGCGTGGCACGCCCACCGGGAAATTCGCTAATTGCTACTCTAAGAAGCTTCCGCGATTATTCGTCTATTTGTCTGTTCCTTTTTTTGCGAGTTTTTCTGTTTCTTTTCTTTTCGTTTCTTTTCCGGCTGGTCTTCGGAACGAGCGACTTCGAAGGCGAGGATCGGTCGGGATCTCGTTCGCAGAGGTGAAACTGTTTCTGGTGCGACGGAAGAAAACGGTGTCACGTTCTTGTTCGTACTGTCGCTCCGGGGAAAAATCGGCTTCGCTCGCTTGTCATTTTCGTTTTGGTATAAATTTATAGCACTGTGTATATCATTTTTACGCGTTTATTGTCACGGGTATTTTTGAGCTACAGAGGAGTATTCTTTGCTTAATTTGTAAATTTTTATATTTTTCAAGGAGATGTATAAAAACAGATAAATTGAAAATGGAAAACAGAATTTTTGTTACGGAGAGTTGAGTTTTGGAGGAAATTCGACTTGAAAATTTGTAGGACCAGTGAGCGTCTGATTGTCTGTCCACTGCTTGCTGGTTCTACTTGGGATAAACTTAGTTGATGTTATGGTAGTGATTGTCATTTGGTATGTTTTTAGTATATTTTAATATGCTCATCTTGATCAAACTATCGCGGAGAATAGATACTGTACCATGGTTAATGTTTATGAATCTTAGAATGAGTGGAAGTAGCGAGTAATGGACAGACAAGATAACAAAATGTACAAATTTTCAAAGTTAGTTATCCCGAAGATAATTGATTCGCAAATTTCTAGGTTCAGAAGCGATAATTATAGAAAGAATGTTTTTAAGACATGTTTCTTTTAGTTTGAGACACATAAAATGAGGAACAAATGTATAAGTTCCCTAAAGAAATCACTAGAAACGGTGGGAGTTCGTACGAATTGCTCGAATACATTGTAAATGCTAGTAGAATGTTACGAAATCATATCAACAAGCTCATCTGACCTTCTCTCACAAATAGAAACTCTTTAGGAATTGCAGAAACACGTGGACGATACACGCAATACAATTAAAGAAATTATAGACTTGAAATAACCTTCCTTCGTGTTTTAACATACTAATTTTAAGAACGAATCTAAGTTATTCAATACTTTATTCTGACTGCATAGGAATCGAAAAATTCTTTTATGATTATTGTATTGTAATTGATTTTTAAAAAATGGTGCAGTAAGTATTTAAAGTGTTTCTTCTTCCATAGTACTTACCCGAATGGTTTTTTGGGAGATCTTTTGAAACCGGAGAATCGCCATCGCTGGTGTCTCCGTCGCTTTCATTGGCGCAAACGTCCGACCTGGGTGAAGTACCGTCTTCCTGAAACAGTAAAAAAACGCAATTCATTAATAAAAAAAAGTGGAAATTACAGTATAAAATAGAAAATCTACATAATTTTCCAGAAACGTATTTCAAATTTCGAAACTTGCTAAATTGTTAATAAGAAAAGACCGGTCAATAAATTCGATCTAAATTACCATTGCTTATGCCATTTCAATGCAAATCTTCAACATTTCCATCTATAAAATAATAAAATGTTATAAAAATAAAAATACCTACGTTGTCACGGAACAATAGAAAAGAGATGAAATGAGATGTGCTTTGAACAATACAAAATTCACAGTAGAATGAAGAAAAAATTAAGAAAAGAGGGAAAAGATCGAGTAACATCTTTCCTATTTACATTCTTTTCGCATTAATGGAGCGAAGAGAATAATCGAAATAAATTGGTACTCGTCAGAATCCCCGTATAAATACGCATTCAACGTATGGAATGAAATAATTTATTATTATTTTTTTCGTTGCATAATTGACGCACAAAGTACAAGAGGATTTCCATATCTGCGATTTGAAAGTAACTTCCATTTACGCGTTCATTCTAAGAACCCACGTAATTATTAGAAGCTTAACTATGTACACGAAGGTTCGTCGAACAAAAACCACGATGAATTCTTTCGTGAGATTCATGAGATTTTTACCCCATTAACTTTCTAAATTGTTGACTACGTACGCTCGCACGCACACGCACCGACACGCGTGACGCGTTACGATATGCAAGCGCCTAATCGAATCCCCTATGTGTCGTATGAATGAATCAGATCTTAATTTCGTTTGCATATATTAGATAACCGGTGAACGTGTCACATCTATACAAAATATATGAATCATCGTTACAAGGTTTCTACCTCGTTATTGCTTTCGTGATCAACCATTCTCGGCAATTTTTTGAATCCGGCGATCATGTTCACGATAATGACAGCTACTTTTTCCATATACGAACATTTCTAGAAAGTAACGCTCGTTCATCTTGTACAAGAGGTTAGACGGTTAGATCTTCTGTATTAAGTAAAAATTGAGGTTCACGGTAAAGAGGAATCCATTGAAAACCTCGACATTCTGTGTAATATCGAATCCTTGTCGACTAAATTCCAAAGGCATCTGGCATTCTCTTGTACGCTAAAATTTCAATTCAATTCAATTCAATTTAACTCGTGATTTAAATACTATATAGTATTATGTTCAAATTACAAAGTACTTCATACGGTTGAAACTAACATACAACAACGCTGTAAATAGTATCGTATTCCGTTGGACAACTTTTACTGCTCATAAACGGCTGACATGTGAATAAACAACAATTGGGTACAAGTGTATCGAATATCATTTATTGTTCTATTAAGTACGTTGCTTATCATAAATCTAAATTCACAAAAGAAGTAACTGTTAATGCTGTAATAAATACTGTACAGTAACTTATATACCATATAACACAATTCCAATAAAAGTCCGTCGACTACCTTCTTCCCAAATCAAATGTCAAATACAAATGCGAGTAACTATAAAACATCTCCAACGAAATTTTATTCGCCGCAAAGAAACTAAGCATCCCTCCCTTACAAAGAATATACTTATCGTTTCAATTGAAAATTTCAATAATCGATCTGCCGTGGTTATCACCGTAAATAAACGGTATCACATGAGAATCCTCTCCAGTACTTTCTCCCTCGTTTAAATAACCCCTGCCCTAAAAATCGAGCGTTCCCGCGAAAACTGGGGAAAAAAGCGGCACGGCCGAGCGTGGATCGAATAAATCGCAACAATCGAGCCGCGGGAACCGTCATAAGTGATACACAATAACGTACACCTGTACGGGACCGTAAATTCCAGACCCTTAACGAGTCACGGGCAGGAAAACAAGACAGAAGAGAGAACCGCATCACGTGGTGCGTGGCCTGTAAATCGTAGATAACGCCTCGGTAATAATATCGGCGAGCCAATCAAACAGCCAACTAACCAATCAATCAGCCGTGAGTCTAGGAAACCAACTAAGCAAGCAACGAAACAACCAACGAACCAACTTACCTACCTACCTACCTAGCAGGGAGAGATGCGCGAGCTTGTTCGCGCACCATATATGGTCATCCGCGGCGGCCTGAACTCGTACCGCGCTTCCACGGGAGATTCTCACAAATTTACGCAGGACTCTATGTTTCCCCGGGTGACTTTCTTTCCCCTGCCGCCATTGCCGCGCGCGCTCGCGCTCGCGCTCGCTCGTTCGCGCACGCCGGAACAATTTTTCCTTTTCTTCTCTTTCCCCGGTTTTTTATTTCCTTCCTTTCTTTCCGTCCGCGGCGAACCGCCGTGGCCTCCGCGCGTTATACATGCATTTCGACTCCCTCGTTAGGACGCGTACACATGTCGCGAGCGCCGATCACGCGTTTGCATCGCGAGGAGAAAGCAAATCGCGTCGCCGGCGACCGGCCGCTGCCGGGAGATTAGGAACCGCTCGTCCGCTGATGGATCACCGGCGAGGACGCGATCACGCCGCACCAGGACACGAGCGGGGATCACTGAACGCGACGCTACCTTTTATTGCGGTTTACGGCAGCCACGGATTCGGCGGTCGCCCGATTTTATCGGAATATCGGATGACTCGGATCGAAAGTACTGTTAGGCTATCGGTCATCGACCAAACAGTTCGGACTGGATCTCTCGTTGTTCCCTGACCGCGATCGCGCGGGATGACCGCGAGCAGTGACTGAGGAAGGATTCGGGAATCCGTTATGGTTCGATCAATATTGTTCCATAAACGATCATGCGAATTAGAAGGTTCTAATTTGTCAGTGGTTTCACAATATATCGCGTTAGTAGCGTTGATCCTTGAAGGAATTTACTCCGAAGAATTAAAGTCCTTGATCGTAGACCTCTACGACGCTTGATCGAGGGTGCAAAGAAAGACTTAGCAAAGTTTCCCAATAAACCGAATTCTCCGTCATTTGTATCTGCCAACTTCCATGAAGTCCACAGTTTTACTCGAATCTAACGTCTAAACTGCAATATATGCAATGTACGTACCAACTACTCGAGGGTTCAAAGGTTCAAAGCCCTAAATCCTCGATTTCACCCGGCGTTCGCCGCGACGAAAGCGTACCCTTCCACGACGTCGTTTCCCTTAAATTCCAAAGTCGATCTCCCCGTATCAGAACAAAGCGTTTCGCGCTGTGTGCCGGGGGTGGGGAAGGAGGGGGAGGAGCGAAGACGAAGAAAGGGGGGAAACCGCCGGGAAGCTCGAACGGTCCCCGCGGCGCAAGCTCGGGGCCGATGCGATGGACGTTAGCCAAGATGACCGGGCGGCCGGTCCGCGAGGCATTCCCGAAAGCATGGAGGGCTGCGAAAGCGGCCGTTTGTCCGGGCGGTCGGCAGGCGTTGTCGACAATCACTTCCGAGTCGCATTTGTACCCCCCATTACCACCGGGTGTGTATAGAAGGCGCGACAAAAACCGACATTCCTGATTCTTAAGTTGGACTCTATATAAGTATCTGCCATCGCGAACATTGCCTGTATATGGCGACAACCAGGCTTTGACAAAGGTGACCGTATATGGTATTCTGCTTCCACCTTCCATTGCCTTCCCCCCGTCTCTTTCTCTCACTCCCTCCCGGGGTTCCCTCTGTCGTCCTTCTCCCTTTCACTCCCACCCCCCGCCATCTTTCTCTTTCCCTTCCATCTCCCGTCCGCCTCCCCACCTGTTGCCGCCCTTCTCTCTTTCGCCCCGGCCAGGCTTCTCGACGCGGCCGCGCGCCGGCCGTCTCCGTCGGACCTCCTCGCGTGCCGCGGTCCGCCTGCGCTGGGGTGACTTCCTCGCGGAACACGCGTCATAATCGTTAAGTCGTTAGATCGTAAATCGGACGCTTCGAACCCCCGCGAGACGCTCCCACCCCCTTACGTCGAGGAACTCGGAACGATCGGGGAGCTACCGAAGCGTCCAGCGCGAGCAGAGTTTGGATGCAGCTATCGTTGTTAGGGGATGCTGATGCTGTCTTGTCCTTCGTTATTGATGGAGAATTGATTGTACGGTGTTAGACGTTTCGAGGTTTCCATGTGGGAGTATAGAAGCTTCTTTCGATGTCACGTTCGGCCGGGATACTCGCCCTTCGAAAGGGGTTGTAACGGAGAAGATTTTATTTCTAGCCAAGTGGTTATATTCGAGGTTCGCACTTTGAAAAGCAGTTCCGGAGGTTAGATTGTTAGAGCGAAGAAGACTGAAGTTTTAGCGTGCACTGAAGGAGAGAATCGATGTTTCGAGATTCGGTGCGTTTTGATCGAGAAAGCTGAACCTACCTTGCGGATTCACGCTGAAAATATGAATGGCGAGGCGGAACATCGTTGATTGGTATCTCACCAACGAACGGAGTGATTCCCGCAGCGACTGGTGTCGCTGTTTCGATCGTTCCGTCTGATTTACCTCTTAACGCGCTAGCTCTTCCGTCGTTCGCTACCAAAAAATGTATCTCGCACCGTTTAAGAGTGATATATTTCTTCCGTGGAATCTCCAGGCGAATTACAAGCACAAAATCCTAGGTCGAAACGTCTCACCCTCCGGCGGGGTGAGCGGCCTTTGAAAAAGCGGCAGCTCCGACGCATCACACGCGGATCCAATCTCGATCTTATCCTTCTCACACGCAACGGCGAAGCGGTTTTACGAATAACGCGATAAATTCTCAAACATGTACTTCTGAATTATTATTTCTTTAATCAACCAGCCGTTAATATCTTGGTCAAGCGAGCCCGGTCTTCTCGCCAGCTTTAGCTTCAACTAACGTCGGCGTTGCCTAAACACGTTCGTCAAGGTTCGATTTTACAACCCTTTCTGAAGGCAACAGACGCGTCGAATCGAAGATACAAAGAAATTCGCGAATTCGAAATGTGAAACGGCATCTTTTCGCTGCACACAACAGGTGGGCTTCGCATACCTACCTGTCCCCGCGAACTATCCGCCGTTCGCTACCAAAACGGCGCCAACGTTCATGCGATATAT